ACTTACTGGGCCCATTAGATTTTTCCTTTAATGAAAACCACTTAATGAGCCTCTTAGAACTTAGTCAGAAAACTGTGAAGTCTATGCAATGCTACCCAAATGACATGGGTTAGATAGGGGATTTCAGAGGTCTCTTCCAGCTTTGCCTTCCCACAGTTCTGAGCTGCTGCAGTCTGATTTCATAACTGGACAGCCCATAACGCTAAGTTAGGTTCATTTGTGGGTTATCATGATTTTCTAGTATCATGAGTATTATGATTTAGTGGTACTCAGTATTTTCATGGAGATTTTATAAACCTTTAAGAAATAATATATAACGTATAATATTCAGTTAGCTTATCAGCATGTTGCCTGGAGATGCTTAGTGGTAATTGTTTAATGTTCTAATTATATATAATGATTTTTCCAACCTTGTATTATAGGAATTGGTCAAAAGAAAAAGCCTTATATGTAGCCTTATTTTAAGAGACAGTTCCTTGTCAGAGTCAGGAACATCCCCGTTTCCAGCTGCTAACAGCCCTTTTCTGTATGTGAATTCCACTGCTTACCACATTCACTCAGAAAACATTTTGACAAATCTTAAACTCAAACATTGAATATTTTGTGAAGTGTTTATAAAGAAGTAAACCAAAACTTTGTGCAGTTATTTAATAATGGGTGGAACCTGTTACTATCTCCTATAGCCAGGCATGGAACTACCTCATCAAGAAAAATGTGGCCAACTATTAGTATTCTTTGTGACATTTACACCAAGGGGTATAATAAACATTTTTGGTATTATAAAATACACATTCAAAATCTTTGTTGTACAAAACTCGTGTAACAATTGGTGGCACAAAAAGATACAAATGTGGGTTCACAATTTATAGGTGGTGAAAATTGAGGCCTTACTGCTGTGGAGTGTATATTAAAATGTTTATGGTAACACACTTGGAGCAATAAATGGCTTAATTAAATGCCTAAATGAAGCTGAGTGTTTGATAAACATACAGTCATTCTTTTTAAGGGCAGTTAATTTTTTTTGCTCTTTTTTAAAGCAAATTACACTTATTTTAGATTTTTACATCTTAGGCTTGTACAACAACATCCTTAGAACTCATAAATGGTCTTCTTGATCTAATTAATTATTTCAGTCTTAGAAAAATAAATGTCCATATACTCTTTGAATATGTAGACATTGTAGAATGTAGACATTTAACTCTCACATGTTTAAAAATAAATCTTTCAACAAATGGGCTTTAAGAGAAAAAGTACCCGTCTGGCTGCTGTGGCTCACTGGTTGAGCATCAACCCATGCACCAAGAGGTCGCTGGTTTGATTCCCAGTCAGGACACATACCTGGGTTGTGGGCCCAATCCTCAGTGGGGGGCGTGTAGGAGGTGGCCAATCAATGTTCTCTAGCATTGATGTTTCTATCTCCTTCTCACTTCCTCTCTCTCTAAACTCAATAGAGGGGGGGGGAGAAAAAGTACCATAAAAAATGTTTATAATTTTACAAACATTAAGCACCTAAATGTTGAGAATACAGAAATAAAGAGGGGGAGGGTGTGTGTGTGTGTTCCTGTGGGAAGTGGGAAGGACAGACATGTTTACAAACAACTGCAGTATTTTGATACATGTTATCATGTATGGGTATACAGAGCACTCTGGGACACTGGGAGCTTTCACATAGGAGGTTTCATCTGAACTGATTCCTAAAGACAGATAAATAAGGAAGGTTTTTAAGGCAAGAAGAGACTGTTCAAGAGCTACATACATTCCTGGAACTTCAGTAGCCAGGAGGGAATGGACATAGGGGAGAGAGATGTGTCAGGTCAGGGAATGAAGCCAGAAGCTGAGCAAGAGTCTATTCAGGAAGAACATTTTACATTGTGCCATGGAATTGTTTTTAACAGGAATAATGGTGACATTTACTTATTGTCGGTTAAACGTATTATTATAATTATCATCATTATTATTTTAACAGTTCAAGTCATAGCATTTAAAAATATTTTTGTTGATTTTTAGAGAGAGAGGAAGGGGGAGAGAGAGAATCATCGACATGAGAGGGAAACATCAATGGGCTGCCTCCTGCACACCCCCTACTGGGGATTGAACCAGCAACCAGGGCATGTGCCCTGACCAGGAATTGAACCAGCAGTCTCTTGGTGCATGGGACTAAGCCCAACCAACTGAGCCAAACCAGCTAGGGCAGCATTTTTTTTTTTTTAATTACGATTATAAAAGGATGACAATACTTAGTCTATTTGGAAATATTTTTAAAATTCTAAATGTATGGGTTGAATCTCTTCTCCCATATTTTGAAACTCTATGAATTAGAATTGCTGGTCAAGACTTTTAGATTTCCTTTTTTAGATGCTAAAATCTAAACTACTCAAACAGTGATTTCTGACCCAGGATCTTAATATTCATGATTTGATTCTGCTATAGAGAAGTAAGTTGAAGATTCAAGTTATGAACTGACTTCAGGATTTTTTTTGTTATTTTAGTTAAAGTTTGACGTAAGAAAGAGGTATATCCCCTGGCCATTTACATGTTAAGGCAGTAAGTTATGTATACATTGTAAGTCAATATCTTAAATTATTAGAGAATGATATATTAAAATGTTTTTTGAAAAATTTAATTTCTTAATAAATTCTTAAGAGCCATATGATTCAGTTTTTAGTTAATTCATAGACACTTTTTATTTTCTTTACTGAAGGAAAAGAGAAATAATCATTATTTTCTTGCTGCTTATTAACAATTCAGAAGCCAGTGCGGGAAGGGAGGATGAGGACTGCGTCTGCTTGTGTGCCTGCTGCTTATTCTCATTCCCGATTCTAACTGCCTGTGGTAATGAAGAACAACTCTCCATAGGGAAGTGTATAAGAGCTGGTCTCCAGTGATGAGCTAATTTAAAACATTCACAAATTTAACATCAGTTGTAGGAAAAAGCAATAGTCATATTTTATTTCTTTGCATTTTTAAATCTATCCCAGTAGAGGGACTCTCTATGTTGAAAATAAGAGCAATTGTAATAGGTACCAAGTTACTTTAAAAAGCACTCTAGCCCAGCTGGTGTGGCTCAGTGAATTGAGCATTGCTCCATGGACTGAGCAGTCCCGGTTCGATTCCCACTCGGGGCACATACCTGGGTTGTGGGCTTGATCCCTAGTAGGGGGCATACCAGGAGGCAGCTGATTGATGTTTCTCACACCAGTGTTTCTATCTCTCCCTTACTCTCTCTTTCAAAAGAATAAAATAATAATTAAGTCTTTTAAAATATAAATAAAAGAAACCTACTAAATCATGTGGCTTTCTTGAGACAATTTTTAAAATGTATTATCATTCTAAGGAATATATTTCCAGAGAAGACAAATGAGATTTCTAGTTGGGTAAAAGAACATAATTTGATACTATGGTATGACAATAGAAAACTATTTGTTTATGTTTTATATATTGATTGATAAAAAGTTAGGAATTCTGGCTTTATGCCAAAGTATAGTGTAATAAAGAAAGTAAAAAATGATTTATTGGATTAAATATTTGACCAGCTGGTGTGGCTCACTGGTTGAGCGTCGACCCATGCACCAAGAGGTCAATCGCCGGTTCCATTCCCAGTCAGGGCACATGCCCAGGCTGTGGGCCAAATCCCCAGGGGTGGGCATGCAGGGGGCGGCCGATCGATGTTCTCTCTCATCAATGTTTTATCTCTCTCTTCCTCTCTCTTTCTCTCTAAAAATCAATAAAGAAAAAATATATATATTTGTTTGCCATTCTACCTGTGTGCTCACTGCTTGAAATAGTTTATCATCTAACTATATCATCTATCTTTGTCTTTTAGAAAGTATGTATGTAAATGTATGTATGTGTATACATGTACATATACATATATATGTGTATATATCATCTTTTAGAGGGTGCAAATCTTAAAAGCAAATCTGAGATACTTAAAGGAGATTATATGCACGAAGTTGTGTTTGTTTTGGGAAGCAGTATAATTACACATTCAGAAGTGGCTAAATCCCAATGTCATTGCCACAGACTACTGAAGTACTCACTATTCTAATTTAAGTAACAGACAATCTTAGCCACATATAAAAATTGTGCAACAAGTCCTCTGGTTAAATTTGTTTCCCAACCTCAGCACTGTTGACATTTGTGCCAGATGTTTCTTTGTTGCTTCCCTCACCCCTCACATTAGATGTCTGTAGCACCCTCACCTTCAAGTTGTGACTACCAAAAATGTCTAGACATTGCCAGTGTTCTGGGAAACAAAATTGTCCCACTGGGTTAAATGTTACCAAGATGTGAAATACTTCTTGTGGAAAAATTGGGAATGATAATGGAAAGTATTTAAATTTATGACAGATAGACCGCAACAAGTATGAATTATTAAATTACAGGAAGCCCTGGCCGGATAGCTCAATTGGTTAGAGCATCATCCCGATACACCAAGGTGGCAGCTTCAATCCCCAGTCAGGGCACATGCAAGAATCAACCAAGGAATTCATAAATAAGTGGAATGAATAACAAATCGATGTTCCCCTCTCTCTCTAAAATCAATCAACTTTTTTTAATCACTCACAGGAAGACACTGCTAGATGCCACAAAATATGGAGATATAAAATAGTTCTGTTATAAAGCAGTTTATACTGTAAAGAGATAAGTACACTAGTAACTAAAATACAGTACAATATAATAAAAGTAATTTTGGTACTGATGCAAGCAAATTCAAAATGCTTATAAAGAAAGGAACGTGCTAAAGTGAGCAATGTGAGCAGCTGAGAACTGTGAAGAAAGAGCGGGACCGTGTACAGTAGGTCCTTGAACAGCATCATTTTGTTCAACGTCATTTGGTTATAACATTGATGAGAGAAATAAAATTGATTCTTGGTTGGGCCACTGTCTGGAGTTTTTCATTCTCCCATGTCTTTGTGGGTTTTCTCCAGGGATTCCAGTTTCCTTTCACATGTCAAAGATGAGCACTTGCGGTGACCTGGTGTGTCCACATTGTCCCAGTCTGAGTGTGGTGGGTGTGAGTGACCCTGCTATGGAAGGACGTCCTGTCCAGGGTGGGTTCCTGCCTTGTGCCTTGAGCTGCTGAGGTAGGCTCTGGAATCAGCGGGTTGGAAAGTTATCTTGTTTTATTAATCTTTATTTTTTTTACTCCTCACCCGAGGACGTGCTTAGAGAGAGAAAGTGAGAGAGAACGAGATAGAGACAGAGCGAGTGAAACATTGATGTGAGAGAGAAACATTGACAGTTGCCTTCCATATGCTCCCCGACTGGGGATCAAACCCGGAACCCAGGTATGTGCCCAATCTTGAATTGAACCGGAAACCTTTCAGAGGACAGGATGATGCTCAACCAACTGAGCCACTCTGGCTGGGCTGTTAATCTTTCTTAAATGTATGTATAGTTCACATATATTTTGATGTTTAATATTAGAAGTGTTTTGGGGTCTTTATTTAGAAGTTTGGTGATGTTTCTGTAACCAGAAGTATTGTGTAAGAACTTATCCCTTATTTATATCAAGTAGCCTATAGTAAAATTGATCTCATTGTTGTTTTGCCTAAAGTCACCATTTCTCAGAATATATTGATAACATTAAGCAAGGACTCACTGTATGTCCACCATTCAAAAAGGCAGTGCCAAGTGTTGTCATATGGGACCTCCAGGTGATTTGTAGTCTCAGAAATATAGGTCTCATGGACAATTTGAAATGAAAATCATTTAGTTTGAAGCATTTGGTCTATCTGGACTGTTGATCTAGAAACTTAAAGAGACTGTAGAATGTGTTTGTTTAAGTAAACATCAAACAAGAAAAGGATAGTAGAAAAATGAAGATTTGCACTATAGCATCTCATTTCCATATGGAAATTTACAAATGCTGTGTCAGAGGGAAGTCCTGCACACCGTCCCTTTTACTCTCTGGCGCGATTCTTGGACCTCTGGTGAAGCCTGCTGTCACCAGCCAGAACCACTGGAAAGGGAGAGGAAAATCTTTACTATTTTTTTTTTTTTTAAATGCATAGAAAGCTCCATACAAGGTTTAGTGGTCTGAAATTGAAACTCATAGATTTATACAAAAGTGACTGTATATAAGTGAAAAGATGTGGAGAGAAGCAATATAACTGAGTTGAAAGGAAATTAAGCAAGTTTAAATGTTGACTGCATCAGAAATGGCAGAACTGTCTTAGGATTTGTGTTCACTGTCCTCCGGCATATAAAGAACTAGATGTGGCCTAACTGTAGACTGAGTTTCTGGAGTATCATTGTAATGAATGGCAGATCTAAAGTTCTAAATTTAGGTGAAAGGATTCATGATCCTAAACCTGATATAAATTAATACTCATTTTTACATAACTTTATGGGATAATGCATAATCATAACTGAGTATAGAGTTTTCCTCTTCAGGACAGTGAGGGCTCTAAGGCACTGCACACACTTTTCTTTTAAATCACGTGAGCATTTCACACCATTGAGAGTAACCACATGACCTTGACTAATGTTGTCCTTATTCTACCTTAAAAAAAGAAAGATTTTGCTCTGGGTGTTTACCATTAAAGTTAATGGTAATGTAACAATATTCTCAGATAACTATAAATAAAGGTCGTCCTATACCCTGACAGCTGTCATGATATCTTTATTAATAAGTATTCTGGGGAAGAAACATTTTTATTTGGGGGTTCCTACATTCTTCCGATAAAGGCTAAATAAACTCTTTAATTTAGAAGTATATCCATCCTTGACTTGGACATAACTCTCCATTTTTATTCTTAGTGGTCTTCCACTAAGACATAATACCTGTATTTTCTCTTTTGAGGCAGTTGAAATCTTTGTGACTCTTCAGGGTCCAGTTAAGAAACAACCTCTTTCCTTATCACCTCCAAAAAATGTGATTTTTCTATTTTGAGTCTCCATGGCATTTATCTTCATCTTAGTTGTGGCTGGAACAGCTATATGTTTGTCAGCCGCATTTAATTTTCCTCCTGGGCATGTAGCTAAACCTCATTTACCAGGTCACTTTCAGTTAGGTGGGTCCATGTGACTGGGTTCTGGTCAACAGAAAGTGGGCCAAAGAATATATGACAATTTGAAGCTTGACCCCAAAAGACCTCCTGCACAATCCTCCATGCCCTTCTCTCATTCTACATCTGCCTGTTGGATTCAGAGGACCACAGTGGGTAGCCAAGATTCTGGGGTATGGAAAGTCACCAGGTGGAAGAACCCTGAGTGCCAAAGTTTTAATATAAACTTACAAACACAAGAAAATGATGAGTGCTTTTATTATATCAAGCCACTGAGATGTTGAGGTTGTTTGTTAGAAATTATTCTACATTAACCAATTTATCAGTGTGTTTATTATATTTTGTCCTTTATAGTATTTGTCATATGTCTTTTATTTTCACAGTTCCTAGGACAATGTTTTGGCATAGTAGAGATTCAAATATGTGATTCACAATCTATAAACATCATCTTATGTTTAGAGCTAATGGAGAAAGTTCTAAAGTCAGTATTGGATGAAAGGTGATAGGAATTGAGAAGAGGCAGTCAGACTCTCAAGGGAAGAAGTACTGAAAGCGAGAGCCCAGGTGTTGTTGGCAGCACTGCCTGGACTTACTTCATGACATCACTATTAGTTGCTACAGCTGGATTTTACATCACCATGGTCAAGAGCCTCTTGAAATAGAAAGGCTTTTCCCTGTAGGAAACCAAGAGGGCCCAGAATCTAAAGATTTCACCTGCCTACCAGGTTGTAACAGAGAGGAAATTTGTGTCAAAATGCATCATTCAAAGCATAACTTTAAAGTTTCCAGGGACCTTTGACGTCTGGTGATTACTGAAGCCAATACTCAAAGAGGAAGTGTTTTATGAGGAAGCTAATTTTTAAAGAAGTAAATTAATTTCCCAAAGTTTCTGATCCCACACTGGAATATTCCCTGTTATGGATAGTTGCATTACTCTAGCTTAAATAATAAAGTAAAAATTTAAAAATACCTTCTTCAAATGATTATTAAATGCATCCATCTCCACTCCATACCAAAAGCAGAATTGAAGTGGGTGAGATAGAAGGCTGTATTTTGTGTTGGAGAAGTCTGTAACTCTACTATCCCAGGTTGATGCTGCCTACATACCGACTCTTGGATACTGAAATGAGTTACTGGAAGGGGTACTTTATGAAACTATATGCACAAAACATTCACTCTGAAAAACACTGCGGGAATTCACAGGTTTGTAGTTCTGTTGCATATTTATCCTCCCACTCCCTACACTGAACTTCATTCTTCACTTACTCTGTCTTCATTCTTTCCTGTTCTGACACCTTCATACTCTAACACATGCTTCCATTACCACTCCGGAATAAAACCCTCCCACCTGTAGTCCCCACCCACTCCCCACTCCCATCCTACCTGTGCTGTCACTCTTCAAAGTAGCATCTGCCACCCCCCTCTGTCTCACAGAGTAAAGGGAAGGGATCTAACACTAAGTGCTCATGTTGCTTTTGGTGCTTCTGTGTTCCAAGGACCCCATTATATTGATAATTATATTGTTTGACACCACACAAGACTCAGCTCAGCCTCAGGATCCCAAACATAATAGACATGCAGTCTGCATATTGCATTTTTCCAACAAATGTGCAGAGTGCTTAGGTGATTTCTATACGTTATTTCATTTAGCATGCCAACACTTTAAAGGAGGCATTGGTATCCTCATTTCATAAATCACATGCTTTAAAATATTTGATAAAAATCAACATGATTTATACCCATGTTGGGTTAACTGTAATATCAAATGTTTTTTATGGTCTCCCTTAGTTTGGTGCTAATTCCTGTTGTAACCTCTTCCCAGCTCCTCTTTCTACCATCCCATTCTAACTGACCCTTTTTGTCTTCTGGAGACATCCCTTTATCTACCATCTTCTTCCACTCCCTCGGACTATTGGTAACAGAGGAAATTGGGTTTTTTAATCTGCCAGCATCATTTTCCATATTCTTTCTGACTCCTATTATCTGAAGTCTAGCTCTAAAATTATCTATGCTGTTGTTTTTCACTTCTCCCAACCCAAAGGCAATATGATTTTAGTATCTGATTTACTATCTCTTTTGTATCCTGTACTTAACAATTAGTAATGCTTGTCAATGACCCTTTGTATTCCTCAAACTCTTGGTTTTTCAGACTTTTTGCCTTAATGGAACTGCATGTCCATTCCTTTTCACCTAGTAATTTTGTCACATCCTACATCTCATCAACACAGGAACAATTCCAATTTAGAGCTCTCATAATTTCTATGATGTCTCAAATCACACTGCATCCACCAAAACTATATTTTCCAAACACTATAATTTAGCCATTTCTTCTAATAAACTCTCTCAGCTTCCTAAAGTCAAGTGCCACTTGTTTTTCTTTACTCCATTTGTCATGGGATTGAGGACCCTGACTCTATAAATTAGTATTAAGAACACTGGAGGAAATATATGAAAATACTTGGGATAAGTCTAGATTTAGTGTGAATATTTATTCTGTAAAACTTTAATCTGTTTAAAAAGTTAAAATAGTTATAAATGTGTTAAAATAGTTTCCTATCTGTAGATGCCCATTTCTGAGTCTATAATAGCTGGGCACCTCCAGGGGGCGCTCCGTCTCATGGAATCTAAGTGACTGACAGGCGCGTGCCTAAAGGATGGGATCACTCTGGGGATGTGGTCTCACAAGAGAACCTCAGCCCCCAAGAATGAGTTTGAGTTAGAAACAGGTTACACTATTTAGATGCAAAGCCTTTGGAGAATGTCTGCTACGAGCCTAACCCGGTTTTGGGTATACAGGGTTCGCAAACCCAGGGAGAGGTGAGCACCACGCACAAGACAGATTGCCTTTCTCCTTGAGATTTCCTCAGCTGATTTAGCAAAGGTGGATGGAGTTTGAAGAATTGCCTGAGTGGGAGTGTCCTTGTGGCAGTCTGTATAGCAGCTGTATATTGAGTGGAATCTGGACAAAGCCTGCTGTGTACCCCTTCCTACTGAGCAAAAGTTACCCATTACCTGCTACAATCAACTCATTATAAGACAAGTGTCAGCAATTAGCCTTTGAAAGACTCAGCCATTAGTCCAGGGAAGGACTAATAGTAACTGTGATATGAGTTAGGTACTAAAACAGAAGTTTGTTATTCTGTGCATACAACAGGCTTGCTGTACTGAGGTCCGGACAGCAATAGTGACCACTTATTCCCATAAGAGCGACCACAATTCCCTAAGTGAAGATAGACTTTTGTCATCAGTTGACGAAGGGCTATTTGTTTTTGCAACATTATATTAGGAAAAAGAAATTACATAAGGCATAGAACATCGAATATGTATTTAAAATTCTGCAGCTCTGGGGAGGCAATGACACATCGGGGAAATGAGTACTACTGTTCCTGTCTGTGGAAGCCCACCGTGTCTGATAACAGAGCTGACCTCGCTGCTCCAGCAGCCCCCCAGGACCGCAGCCGCACCGGGCGTAGCTCCGCCCCGCTCCGCCGGCCGCTGTGGCTGCGGTGCCCGGGCCGCAGCTCCCCGCCGGGAGGGCGGCAGGCGCGCGCGTGTGTCTGTGTGTCCGCGCGCGTGTGTGTCTGGGTGTGGGAGATGCATTGGAGTTCACAAGACGGGGTGTCTTCTTCCGAGTGGTGCTGATCAACAATCCATTAGGGGATCATGGAAACTTGTTTCTGCCTAAAAAGATGAAAACCGAGTAAGTACATAGAACTTTGAACTTGAAATGGAATGCAACAAATACAAGCAAAATCCTAACAGTAACCATGTCCATTCAAGCTGTTTATTCCCCCTTTATGTTAAAAGCTCTAAATGCTTACAGAAAAGTGTCCATTTAAAACGGAAAGAAGGGAAGCAGTTAAGGAACTTGAAAGGCGGAAAGCAGGACTGCTTTTAAAACCGGAGGAAAAATGAGGAACTGCTAAGGCAAGCTGGCCTGCACCCAGCTGTGCAACAGGCACTTTTGGTTTTAACCGATTGCGTTCTTCAATGCTGTTTTTAGGCTCCAGATTTATCCTGGCGTTGTCTTCTGTTTTCCTGTAAAGTCTTCACTGTGAGTTTAAGGATGTTGTGGAAATAGGGCATTGCCGGAAGTAACAGTTTGGCAGACTGCGGTACGCTCAGGTTATTAGATACAACTACTATTATTTTTATGTCTTTTTTTAAAACCCAGGCCAGCCACTTTTTACTGTCATCCATGGAAAGGCTCTTAGTAACTGTCTCAGACTTTTGGGATCTATAATTCTTTGCCATGATTCTTCGGAAAGTTCTTAAGCGGGATGGAGCAATCTTGATTTAAGTTGTGGAAAAAGAAGACAGATTTATATTCTTCATGCTGACAAAAAATAGTTGCTATGACTTTTCCGGCAACGTGAACAGGAGCCAAGAGAAGCTGAACTGGTCATGGTCTGTCGTCCAGTGTTCCTTTGTCGTCGGCGATTTTGCCCCCGGCCCTACTTGGTGGGCTTGGTGGTGGCGATCTGCCTCTTCTACCAGACCCTGACTCTTCGAGGGACGAGGAAGCTCACAGTCACTGTCCCTGGGGCTGCCCCAAACACACTCACTGAAAGCCAGGCAAGCAGATGCAAGAAAGGATTCTCTGTGGACAAACAGTGCTTCCTTCTCTCGAGCAATGCTCAGGAAATCAGAAAGGTAAGATGGTCAGAAGCTTAACCTTGACATTTTCTGCAAAGATAACAGCCTGCCTCTCTCTGTCCTTTCCATAAAACTAAAATTAACTTCCATGAGGTTTGAAAGAGATCCAGGATATACCCAGCCCAGAGAGTGACCTTATGACAGTGAAACACATGTGAGTTTCAGCTTCTTATTTTATTTCCAGAAAGTGCTGGCCATTACTTTGTGTCTTAGAATTTCACTTCATGTTAGCTGAATGAAATAGACAATTTGGAGGAGGTGGGAGTGATGTGAATGCTTTCTAAAATATTAGGATTCCAATAGACTTAAAGTTTAAAGACATAAATCAAAGATGTCTAACATTTGATAAATACTTGAGTATCTCTTTCCTCAAGGCATTCAGTATAGTACTCAGACCATCCAGACTCAAAGATACTTCAAAACTTCATTTTGTAATTAATTAAGTCAATTTTTCATTGGTGAACACATTTCTAGAGCAAATATTTATTTCTGAAGCATTTAAAAGAAAAATAGAATAGTTTTCTTCAAAAGAATTCACACACTGCATTTTATTGTTTATAGAATTAGGAAAATATAGATTATTTTATACTTATACTACGCTAATTAACTTTATTAATCTCACTTGTCAAGTGACAACACATAAAAACACTCAGAATTTCTATTTTAATATAACAATTGTATTTAAGCTTTCAGTGAAATGATGACATTTAAAATAGTCCAACCTAAAAGAAAAAGAAAATATACACAGATAATATTTACAGTAGGAAAGTCAATGATTTGTATGCTACAGCAGGTATTATAGAAAGACAATAGGAATCTATAAACTATTGTCTTATACTTGCAGTAAACCCTATGATCATGGTTATAGTTTGGAGCAGAATTTCTCATTAAATACTAACAGTACTTCTATAATTATTGCTAACACCTCCAGCACTAGTACCATTTTGTTTTTAAAACTCTTTATGGATTTCATGTCAGACTCATAATCCTACAAGATAGGTAATAATGAGTGTCATTATTTTACAGACAAGATGACTGACACTCAAAGATGTTCAGGCAGGCCACTGGGTGAACATGGTACATCTACCTGGTTCCTACTGCAGGGCTGATGCTTTAAATAAAAATAAGTTCAAAGGTCTAATAATAATTTGTGAAACCATAGCCCTAAGATCTTTTTGAAATACAACATAATATTAGGTTACAATGAAGAACATTTGAAACTTTTAAATGAATGACTTATTGTATAAATAATGTCAAGAAGCTTCTTGACCAAGAAACACGTTATGCAAAGAATAGCACACAATAAGTTAACTAAAAACACTTCTAGATGAACTTAAACTGCAAGTGTGAATCAATTATTTTGTTTACTTATACTAGCATTAACTTAACTCTTGCACGTTTTGTGTTTCTTTCGAATATTTCAATAATGGGTATAAACTGTAACTTTGAAAATCACTTATTTGTTTCTAATATTAATAAATAGAATTTCTTTAAAAATAGTTCAGATGGTTTTTCTCCTTAAGTAGCTACATTTTTGCTGAGAATTTTGGACAAAAAGATTTTTTTTCATTAACTTACCATCCTTCTTTCTCCCTACTTGACTTTATGTGTGTCCTGCTTTTGTCTGTAACTTAGGCATATGTTAACTATTATTTGTAGGCTCCTCACAGAAAATTTTATTTCAGCTTTGGATCTTCTGCTACTTATAAACCATCTGAAACTTATTGGCTATTTGTGTAAAATATTTACTCTAGAATTTTCTTCACAAAAAATGACAAACGCATGATTTTTTTTTTCAAATTGTTGACAGTCTTAAATATTTAGCAAGATTCCAAATTCATAATTATAGTCCAGAAATTCAATAGATATGAACACTGAATTTCCAAACATTTGCCATGTGCCTCTATTTTTAACTTAGCTTGTACCAGCCATTGGTTTAGAGCCATTTTTTTAAAATTAAAGACAGAAAGGAAGCTAGAAGGAATGTATCATGTGGAAGTTAGTTTAAATGAGGTATAAATTAGTTATTCTTGTAGTATATGAGCCAAAAGATAATTTAATTATAATCTAGTTTTGAAGATTAATATTCTTTCAGATAGCTTAAGTAAAGAAAGAAACGTCTTTGTGGTCAACCAATACATTATTCTCAAAAACAGCTACTTATGAAGTTTACTTAAAAATAACTGATGAGATGCTACATAGATTTTTCTTAAGACCTGATATATAGCTTTTAGGCCTTTTGTAGAAGAAGCATTATTTCTATCTATAAAAGCTGGGTTTTATTTTTACTTTTATTGGCATACCAAAATCTGCATGTTACGAGGGCTTGCCCTTACTTATGTCCATTCACCTTTAAGTCGTTTTTAAAGTTACTTGAAATAGCTGCTTTTGACCTGAGGTTCATGGACTCCCGGAAAGTATTTGGATGTATAAAGTGTCTACCAAGCACACGTATTTTATAGAAAATGTTGTGTTTATGTATATGTGCAATTCTCTAGGAGAAATCCTGGTTCCTTTCAGCTATTCAGACCTAAACAAGTACTAAGAAACATGAAAAATGCTTAAAAGGTTTACTTAAACTTGAAACTAACTGCTCCTCCAGGAAGTGCAAGTTGCATTTATAAATCTAAAAAAGGAAAAAAAAAATCTTAAAGAATCCACCTGAGGACATTTGAAAAAGAGACTTAATGAATGCTGTGGAGTCTGCAGGAATACACATTCAGAAACCAAAGTGTACTCACAGAGTATTTCTTGAATCATAGTTTTCATACTTTCATGAATGAGCAATGAGTGTGTCCCAATCTGGTCTCTGTTGTTTTAGGAGAAGACCTTTTGTACTGTATCAGCCTAGCAACAGAAGATACTGTGGTAGCAAATATTTAAAGATGGGTGACTGACTGTGCCCTTTACATCTTTACAATTGGGATCTGGTTCAATGTGTAAAGCTGTTTTCAGTGCAGATTGAGATCACAGTCTAATGTATGCCAACTTTCCACAGTGAGGAAGTATTCTCCCTCCTTCTGGCCAACTTTTAATTCTTTTTTCCATTTTAACTTCCCAAGGGGCTTTGCTAAGCAGATATACTTTTGTCATTTCTTCTGGGTTTTCTCCCGACATTAGTTGTTTGAATTTTGGCTGGTAATTTATCGTGTCTTAAAATTATTTCATTTTAATATATAAACTGAAGACAATTTGCCTTCACTGAAATAGGTCACTCAGTAGATTTCCTTTTCCTTTTTTTGGGAATCTAACATTTTAATATGTCGTAACATAGGAACACATTAATTATAAACAGACACAATGGAAGAAAATCTCCTTAGTATGTGCTCCTTTAATGGAAACTTTGCTATTTGGGGACTACATTTGTATTCACCATAGCCATGTGTTTCTGATTATCTCATGCTGATGTTCTACACAAGAAGGATTACTATTTCTTTGTTACTTGACTGTTTATTCACCAAATCTTCTTGACTTTTCATTCTCCTTCAGTGGCTATTCTTTACAACTACCCTTTTTAGTGTTCAGCCATAACCCAATGCAAATAAATGAATGTTTTCATTACAATTATGTTTTTCGTTTGTGCTTCTAATAATGTGCTTTTAATATCTTCCAATATATTTAACATTTAAATTTTCTTAAAATTACTTGAGACCAGATTTAGAAGAAATAGAAGCAGAGGCACACACTTAATGCTAACACTTTATTGAATGGTACAACCCCAGAACACAAAAGTGGAGAGAAAAAAGGAAGAGGGAGAGCAAACACAGATGGACGCATTATTGGGAGACATTTCCCGAGAGACTGTATTAAACTATTGCATCTCAGAATTAGCACTGGTGGAAGTGGGCAAGAAGAGCTAGTATCTTATCTCCTTGCTTTCCCATTCTTCTGTCTTTCATTGGCTAGAATTTGTCCCATCCTACTTCCAACCTGGACTCTCTGGGCAGCCACTGGGGAGCCAGGGCCTCAGTGGCTGTGGTCCTGCTGGGGCAAAGGTGAGCTTCTTCCTCCTGTTCAATCTGTACTGTATAGAAGAACTCCCAGGTCTGTGGCAGCTGAGGTGGGGAAAACAGTGTCCATAGCTTACCACAACAATGGCCTGAATGATGCCCACTGAAGGGATACATGAGGCAAGTACTCTGGTGTCTGATACAGTAGTTGTGATAATTTTGTTTTTTGAAATACACAGAAAATGTCAAAATGTGCTCTTACTCTTGGGAAATGGCATCCCTTTCTTTAAGTGAAATGTTTATAATTATCTCAATGAGAATTCTCCTCTTTCTCCTCCTCATCCCATTCACTCATTAATTTATTTCTTCATTCATTAAGTAAATATTCATTGAATAGTTTATATGTACATGAATAGTTTTATATTGTAAAGAGAACGCTCCAGAAAGCACATTGCAGAATAGACTGGAGTGGGTAGAAGTGAATGCAGGCAGAGGAGTTGGGAGGCAATTTCAAAATACCTCTTCTTTGCCAAATCTCACTTTCCTCTCGTGCTCTTCATGGCCTTTCAACTTTTTCCAGAACTGATTCCAGAATTACTCTATATTAGTTAACATTTTAAATCTTTCCATTAAACCATCCCTTCTGCTAGTAAACATGCTTGTAACTGATAAACAAGGCTTCTCTGTACCTGGCAATCCACCTCACCCCACATGCTCCTTCTCTCTTCTTTCTATAGCTGGTTCTCTCTGGGTGCACTTTTCATCACCCCTACCCATTCCGTACCCTTTTCATTTTGTCTTTTCTACTGAACTGTCCATCTTGATGATTCCTTGGCTACCAAATAAAATTATTTAGTTTCAATCCACATCATTCTTCTCTGAATAATTTTACACTGTTGGGCAACAACTTTTTCTTGAAACTCCCCTTTTGAATTCCATGACACAACAGGGTTTTTCTCCGACCAATAAGAATAACTTGTGGTCTCCTTTCAGGGTCTATTTACTTTGGTGCTAAAAGTAGACATTCCCAAGTTTAGTTTATTGGGC